GAGGATTCACACTCTCTGATGGACTTCTAAGCAGTGAAGAGGCATATAGGGGTTGTCTTTTCTGCAGCATAAAGTGAAGTTGTTAGCCTCCACTGATACTGTACGGCACTCTACTGTAGTAGGCAAACTACAGAAATGTCAAGAAAAACGCATCTGCTTTGACTGCTACATCTTCTCATTAGAGTTCCTTCACATTAAGGCAAGCAGACTTGCTTATTAATGATTGACAGTCAATGAATCTTCTAATTACGTCTGCTTCCTTTTCCAACTGTTAATGTTATTTCTGGATAGTCTGCAGATCTGTCACTGTACTGCTGGATTTAAGGGACAGCAAGAGTGTATACCTCAACTTTGAAGTTTCTGTACCATTGACCCGTGTTTTGGAGATCTGTTTCAGACAACTCTTAAAATTGCATCCCAACATAGGAACGGAAGAATTGAGAAACCTCACTTACTGCTTAACAGAATGTAGAGTAAATTTGTATTCAGTGATTAATTACTTTGTGTTACATCACACTTTTAAAAAATGCCGTCTGCATAGACTGTGTAGCTTAGGTGAAAAAAGAAAAAGCAGGGAAGGCTTGTTTTTGATACCCACTTGATGTGAACCCAAGTGAAATATTATGTGTGACTCGTGGTCAAACAGGTGTTTATTGCCATTAAAAATTCTGAATAATGATTTACAAAAAAAGCAAACCAGAAAGAAGCTAGAACTGAAGTGAGGATCCCTGTGGCAAATCTATAGAGGTTTTGTGAAGATTATAGAGAGAAGAGTTCAGCAATTCAGAAGGCAAGTGAAGGTATTCATGTGTGAATAATTGGTATTATAATAGTTTGAGTTATAGAAACTCAGTTCTGTGAAGCAGGATTCCTCTGACAATAGTATTTCTACTGCCTCTGGCACAAATACTGCCAAAAGGCTGGATATCAACGGGTAGATTTCAGATGAGTAGTTATAAATGAAGTAATTGAAAAGGCATTAAGGTGTTATCTTGCAATTGTATATACTCTGTTAATTTTTTTAACAAAGTTAACTTGAAGTTTTTCTTCTGTAAATAGCTATCCCATTCTGTTACTCACTGAAAACTTTGATGTGTCACGAATCATACTGACTGTAAAATAAAAAGTGTGGGATTCTGCTCTTGTTAGTTTACAGTCTTATACTAACATTAAGGTAGAGGAGAGGGGACTCCAGGTTAAGTTTATTTTTTATCAGCTATCCACTAACCCACTACTTCCTGCCCATTAGTCCTTTAATTTTGCATCAGTTTTACCCTGTGGTAGCTCCTTCCTTTTTGAATAATATTCAACTGTCTTGCAAGATTCAGAGATAAATTTTACTCTTTCCTGCCCCATAGAACAGCCTCTCAGGTCCGTGTTATTCTCGCAGTAGTGCCTTTTTCTATACAGTGAATATAAAGATGATGAATCAATCTAGATGATGAAATCTGATGCTGACCTCTACATTTCATTGCATGGTTCCTTGCTCCTCCTACTTGTACCACTCCCTTAGCTTTACTGGGGAAATTTGTCAGGACAGAAAGACTGGTAGTGGGGTTTGTTTTTTAAATGTTGTATTCCTTGCTCAACTTTTCACTCTTCCTAGAGGCTTGGTTGGCTGTATAAAAGAAAAAACTGTGTAAGGATGTTATGGGTGCAAAGGACCTGGAACCAAAATTTCTTCTTGTATCCCCAAAGACATTCCTTTGCCCAGAGCAGTACAGCCTAGATGAGAACAAAAAGGCGTCATTTAGAGGGAGCAGTTTAAATGTGAAGATGAGGTTATTTTTGATATGATCAAGAAGGTAAACACTGGTGAAGGGGCTCAAAGATGTATTAGGTAAGGGACTAAGAATCTCACTGAAGTAATGAAAATGATGTGGGCAGCTTTGTGTTAAATAAATTCAAATGAGAGGTTTAGGTGGGTTTACGAAAGCCCGAGGAGAAAAGGCTTCAGTGGTTGGGATGGAAGGGGTTGAAAGTATGAAGGCTTTTATTTGAATGAAACGGGGGGAAAGCTGGTTCTTAGAAGTATAGGGACAAAAAGAATCTGGATTTTAGAAGTGTTGGTCACCTGTTGGTTACAGGTCTGGGTGGCTCAAGTGATGATGGTACTGCCCTGAAATAGGAACTGGTTAAAGAGGCTGGGAGGGAAAAACGTTAGCATTAACTGTTAATGTGGGTGAAAAGCCAAAGTAGCTAGATTATTTCTTTTGTCAGTACAAATACTATTAAATGTTAGGAGGGCATGTTCTGCAGTGTCTGGCAATGAAGTGCTGTTCTTTCCTGAATCTCAGGAGTTGGTTGGAGGTATCAACTTTTTTTTTTTTAACATTGTGACATAACACCAGTTTTATAATAATAGCAATGTTTCAACCAAAGCTCTGTTTTGTGTGCATGCTTTGATGAGGTAGCTGAAAAATTTCCTGCATTTACTGGTTTTGATGCAGTGTAAACTTCAGAATTCCTGGGAGGACATCTTCTGTGGCACTACTTGTGGTTGCTTTGTCCTAATTAAAAACAGCAATAAAAACCGACATGCACAACGTATGTTTGAATAGTACTGCATGAGAGAGGGTGAGTGAGCTGGACTTGCTGACTGTCCTCTAGGAAGACTTGAAATTTAATGATATGTGTAATACAAGGATTAATTCCATTTTACTTTAGTGTGATTTCTCCCACACTTAGGAATTTTAGGAATGTACCTGTGTGTTTAGGCAAATTATGGGTTCTCATCCCAGGGAGAACTCACAGGGTGGACAAAGTGGATGCACTAGTAAAATGGGCATTTTTAAAGTACAATTTGTTGATACAACAAATGTCAAATTTATTTGACATCGTATCTAACTGTTACAGCAAAGTCAGACAAAAAAGCCAAAATCAGTGTATCTTTAAAAATGTCAATTTTTTTATTAGTTTGTACACTTCAGGACATATTAGATTTCCTTTAAAATACTTTTACTCCCCTTTTGGGTTTTATTTACCCATCTTTGGAGTTGACCTGAGGCTAAACCCATTGCCTAATAGGAGATTTTAAGTTTCTATCTCCCTGTTTAGTTTCAGGTTTGCTACTTCTATTATTAACAAAAATCTCTTGCGCAACCTAGGGGAAGATTACATGAGCTCCTGAAAAATTACATGAATAGGTTGTGGTTTGTCATCAGTAAAACAGTGACACTGACTGTAGAAGCCGCTATCAAATCTACAAAATAGTTGGTGAAAGGGGATTTTTCTCCATTATTTGTAGCAATAAATACACATTCCATGTGCAACTGTCTTATTGCAATGTGGTTGTACCTTTAGATGGCTTTAAAGCTAACAGGTTAAGATTCATTCCTAATGTAGTAGTTAAACTACCTGCTTACATATGCCACTCGTGGGGAAGGACTTCTGAAATACAACTGTGCTTCTCTGAGCTTCTGTGAATTAATTCTCGACACTTTTACCTACGTAGTGCTTGTATCTTCAAAGCAAGATCTTTGTAACAGTGTGAGGTTGGCAGGCACAGATCTAGGACTTAATACTCCATAAATCAAAGCGACCTACAAATAGCAAGAACATTATTGAGGTGCTCAGCACAGGAGGTCATTTTGAAATGGAAGAAAATTTGTTAATCGCTGGTAACTGTTGGCTGTGATTTTCAATTAAAATCACTGTCCTGCAACATCAGCAATTTTGCAAAAATATGAGCAGTCTGCATCATCACTTGAATTTGAAGGTAGAAGTTCCAGTTTTTCCTAATCTCTTCCTTAGTCTTCTGAGCTCTGTCTTGTTAGTGCTCGTGAACATTGACCATAGTATTAGGTTTGAATGGTCTTCGTTCTGTATTTGCTGATCATATTGCAGATGTGCCCCAAAACTCTTCTAGATTGATGCCTTTGTTGTATCTCACTGCAAATACGTTAGTAAAAAAAAAAAAAAGCCTTTTCTGAAAAAAAGTTCATTATGTGATTTTTTCAAAGGCACAGAAAGTACCAATAAGAAATAGGAGAAATGAAGAAGGAAGGATGCAGAAGTAATGACAAAAGGATCACATGCCCATGTTGCTTCAAGGCATAATATGGAGTGAAGGCATTGGTGATGAGGCTAATTTAAGGACCTGTGCTTCCCCTTTTGCGTACAGACTCGTTGCATAAATGCAGATGTTTGTGAGGTCTTGCTATGGGCAGGGTTGCTAAATGGTCTGGGTCTAAAACAAAGTTCCTCGTTTTTTAAAACCACATTTTGTCAGTGCAGTGAGCTTGAGTACAGAGATGGGAATGAAAGGAAGACTGAGAAGATTTAGCTAATTTAAACAGTGAAGATGTCTTTGAATTGACAATGGACATAAACTGAAATGAGAGGCGCTGACTGGATATAGGGCAAAAAGCCTTTTCTCTGTTGTGACAATTATGGATTGGTACAGAATGCCCGTGAAGGTCACTTAGGCTGCATCCATGGAGGTTTTCAATACATGGCTGGATAAAGCAGCCTGGTTTGCCGTCATAGCTGATCCTGTTTTGAGTAGTAGGTTGGACTTGAGACTTCCTGATGTCCCTTACAACCTGAATTATTCTGTGAATCCGTGGATTGCACTTCCATTTGTTTTGTTATATGTTTTCAGATCACTGAGGTTCTAAATAAGGAAAATGAGAATAATTGTCTTTAGAGTCTGCATTGCCCAAATGAGAATGACTGACTGACTTCTACGTCATCACTTAGCTGTTTTCTTTTAGTGTTTTACTTAAAATAGATCAAGTAGGAAAGGCTAGCAAGTCGTCTTTGTTTCCATAGTCTAGAGTAGGAATTGTGTACATGATTGAGTGTTCACTCTTTATACTTCTGGAAGTCCTTGGTATGTGTAATTTGCTCACATTGAAATCAACAGACAGATTGCTTTTTCCTTGAAATGTGAACACATTTGATTGCCTCACACACTACAGCATATTCTGATATCCCATTCTGTTTACTAAGAGGTACCTGTGCATCTAAAACTTTATTTTCTTTTCATTGTACTTCAGTTCGAATAAGGAGGAAATCAAGACGGCGCTCACAGTGGGGCAAAGGCATTATTAAGAAGAGGAAAGTCAATAATTTAAAGAAAGATGAAGATGATGCCAAGTTTGCTGATGATGAAAATCATGGAGAGGACAGTAAATTGCTGGAAAACGGAGAGCTAGAGATCAGCACTGGCTGCATTGAGGAGAATGGGGAGGAAACAGGAGATCTCTCTATGACGAATGATGAATCCTCTTGTGATATTATGGATATAGATGCAGAACAGAGGCTTAACAATGGGACATCAGGAAAGGAGAACAACTTTGCATCCACAGAAGAAGAGAGTTCAAATGAATCTCTGTTAATAACTGACAGTGTTACCCTGGGTGCTGAAAAGGAGTTAAGGAAGGACTCTACATCGAAAGAGGACTGTGTGAATGGAGAGACATCTGTACACCACTCAGAGGGTGTACCTGTTCCAGCGTGTCATAATGGGAAAATTGAATCAGTTGTTGCTGTGTCACCCTGTGACAACAGTGAAGGGTCTAGTAACAAGCAAAAATCTTCATCTGAAGATCACCCAAAGGAGAAAATGGAGGCTTCCAGTGAAAGTCAAGGAGCTGATCTAGTGAAAGTTGACTTACCACATTGCAGCAATAATGAAAAAACACTACAGAGCACAGACACGGAAACTAAAGATGCTGAAGCAGATAAAGAAGGTATAGGTTGTTTTGAATGTTTCTGTACTTATCTTAGTGTCAAAGTATCATTGACATTGGCTGAAAGACCATAGGAATGCAGAATGTGTTCCTTTAAAAACATTTGCTCATAGCAAAAGTTAAAGCAGCTTAACTCAGAGCGAAAGCCAGATAAACCATTGTTTATCTGTTGGAGAAGGTATCTGGCTTCGGAGTTACAGTCAACACAGTAACAGTGCAGCAAAAAGATAAGGAGAAGGGAAATCCTGGTGGTGCATAAAAGAAGGGGCTACGTCCTTTGAAGACAAGAAACATAGCTTCCTCGGGGAAGAGAAATAAAAGCCTTATGCATGATTGCCTTTTTAATTAGCTTTTCAGAATTATCTAAAAGAGTGAAATCTTTACTTCAGAAGTTAGCACTGAGATTTACAAAGTAAATGAGCTTTAATGAGAGATCTGAATTATGAGAATATCACTATATCCATATTGTCTGTGTTTGTACATACATATTTTCTCTAAGGGTAAGGAGAATAGTAGAAGAAAGTTCCTCAGGATATCAGAAGAAGAGTATGATGTATGTTAAGAACCTTCACATTTCTAAATTTAGTAGATGAATTTTGTATATGTTAAGGATGGTTATAATAACGGGGTCCTCAGGAAAAAAGGCATTTTGAATAATTGAGGACGAGAAAAAACAGTGAATGAGTGTAGGGAGAGAATCAGGAAATCTACAAATATTGTTCTCCACAACAAGATCAGACAACAGCTTTAGTACAGAGGTGGATGAGAACAGAAATATGTCACAAAAGCATGAAGTTTCAGGGACAGAGCTGATGCTAGAATTACTGTGGTGATGAAAACATGAGATGCTTTGGAGAGAAGATGAGGATTTGATTTACTTACTCAGAAAGATTTTGAGCGTTAGGTTCATATCTGAACTTCCCTTAGAAGCTGTATAATTTGAATTTGCTAAGTAGAAATGATAGAATGGGAAAACTCTTTCAGTGACATTCAGTTTTCTGTTGGGACTTTGGAGTTCAGTTTTAAAGATTACCAGTTTCACGTGTGTTTTCTAAACTGTGATTTTATGCACCTATAAATGTTGAGAATTATGCAGAGCTGATGAATAGTGTGCACTGCTACAGTCATGCTTGCTTGGTTCAAAAAAGCTCAACAAACCAAACATGCAAAATCAAGCCCAAGTGAGGAAACAAGCTCTTCATTTTAAGAGACTGACGGTGCTGATAATTGGTTTTCAAATTACAGGTATATTCAAAAGCAAGAAAACACGAAAAGTCACTATGGAACAGTCAAAGCCCACAAGTTTGGAGCAGGTCCCAGAGCAACCATCGGATCCCGTACCTGCTGTAGTTGTTGACCATGACAGACTAAAGGTAATGGAATGGAAAAATAAATTCAACTGTTAGCGAACTTAATGAAAAATGCTTCATTTCTCCGTTCTGAAGCAACACTTCCTTTATTTTTGACTGCAAACAGGTATTACGGCAGCAGTAACCTCTGAAAACGATTTGTCCATCAGTGTTTTTTTTGTATGAAAAGTTAAGAAAACTGCTGAATCCTTACTGTCCCATCATTACTATCTTTACAAATCCAGTAATGGCACAGCAGTCCATTATTTTAATTGCGATTTTTGCAGGTACTCGTATGTGTTAATTGGACATGCCAGTTACTGAGGAACTGCTGGGTGCCTAGTAATTAGGAGTTAACATCATCTTTTCCCTTCCCGTGTATGTATACTTGATGGAAAGAACTGTTAGTGGATTGGAAAGCAAATTGGAATTTGTGCTGATGTTTTGGCATCATAGACTGAACCCCTGCTAGTTAATTTTCTTTCAGTTTTGTCTCTTTTTATGCAAAGTTACAACAAAATTTACTGTCTTCTGTTGTAGAAACTAGCTTGACCTACTATGAAATGTAGATCCCATTTGTTGTGGAGTACAGATGATAATCTCTTTGGAAACAATAGAAGTGTTATAAGATGAAAAAAATTCTTAAGTTTTAGTCTCTGCTACTATGTAAAATACACACTTCCACCTTCTGTTTATGAGCAGTTTTACGTGTGTTGTCCCCCATTTCTTTTATTGCACCATTTTTCAACATTTGTGGAATTCCAAATGTGTTTCCATTTGGTACTTCTTTCAATTTCATGCCAATGCAAGTTCTTAAAAACATCTGCTTTAGCTATGAAGGCAGTTTCTTTTGTTTGCTTTGTCACAATTATTAATAAAGATTAAATAGGATGAAGTATTGTTCAAACAGAACAAACATTGCTCCAGCTGTACCAAGTATAAAATCTAAGTCAGGAAAAAAAAGTGTGTGTATAAGCAGAGAAGTGAAAAGAGACGTTGAGTCCTTTTTTGGATCTACATGGAAGCAGTGGCCTTACTGATATCCAGCTCTGGTCCTTTTTGTTTGTATGTATCCCTCCAAAATAAGGCTTCAGAAGGAGATTGCATTTCTGATTTGTCCTTTAAAAAATCAAAACCAATGATCATAAAAACCCTCTTAACTTCACCTTTTGTTGTTCCAACAGAAACTGCTTGATTTAGTGGTTAAGAAAAGTGACAACATGACTGTTGACCAACTTGAGAGATTGTATTCGCTCCTCAGTCAGTGCATCTACAGACATCGTAGAGACTATGACAAATCGCAACTTACAGAGGTGACGTTGTACAGTTTATTCTTTATCTGAATTTTGTGAGATGGGTTTTTCAAGAACTAAGTTAATCTATCAATTTGTTGTTGTACTAGCAGGCAAAAGCTTTAAATAGACTTTGAGGAAGTTATCTATAAACAGAAGTTTAGTGTAGTAATGACTTAAAAAACAGAGGTTGGTTCTAATAATACTTTTCTTGGGAAAAGATTAAGGTTTTAACCTAAAAGAATGGATGAAAAAGAGGAGAGAATACAGCAGAATGGAGAAGCACATGCTAGCAGAATAAAAATGGAGTAGAAGCATTTTCCACATTTGTGGTATAAATAACAGTGGATGTAAAGTGGCTGCTTTATAGGCACACCGAGCTGACATTGCTGTGGTTGCCCTTACTTGTGTTGGCATAACTAGGCCATAAAAAATTACATACCTCTGCTCCATGCATTTGCTGATAGTGACTTTTGTAAAAGACCTTAAAAGTTTGCAGACTTTCTCTAGATGGGTAAGGATACCCTTGGGAAGGTCCAGTACAGTGTGATGTAAGCCAGTGTCTGCTTTGCTGTCATCCTTTGCCTCTGAAGTGTTTGATATCAGAGGCGTCCTGTCTGCATCCACAGTAAGTTGGTAATTTGACCATTGGTGTAGGCTGATCATAACTCTGGACGTTCATTCCCTCCAACATCATTGTTCTACCCATAGAGGGGTTTGGATCAGCTTGCTGATTCAACTGATAACCAACTGTACTGAAAAAAGGACAATTTCTAGTTTCCAGTTGGATCACTGAATATTTTTCTCCATAAATATTTTACAACAAAACCTGGAAAGGCCTTAGCATAGGGTATTGTAGAGTTCTGCAAAATACTTTTCAGACCATTTTCATGCTATTGCTCTGCCATCTTCACCTAAACATATGTTGAAAGTCTGTGCCAAATGTTAGGTAGATTAAAAAGACATTTATCCAGCAGGAGTGCTGGATCTTTACTTTAATTCTCCAAACTGTACAGCTATGTGTTTACAGCTGGGTCACCTATACCATAAGTGTACAGTAAGACTTGAATTCATGCAGTGTGCCATTGAAATACTTTCTTAATACATATTGAGTACATTAATTATGTAAGTGACCCTAATACACTTTGATTTTCTCATGGACTGTCATAATGGAGCGCTTTTCTGCATTAATACTTCTTTAATTAGTTTCCTCTTTTACCATGTTTTGCTGGGAGATAGCTAATAAACAGAAGTGTCTGTTTTTCTATTAATTATTTGTTCAGATTAAAAAAAAAAAAGCCCAGTAAAGTAAATACGATTATGTAATGTAATGTATTCCTGTCTCTTATATTTATGTATAATTGCTGCTCTGTGTCTCTTGCAGGAGATGGAAAGAACAGTTCATGTGTTTGAAACATTCCTGTGAACTCGTCGAGATGGGTGGGTTTATCCTCTCAAACTGCTCACGGGAGAGCAGTCCTCTGAGCCATTCAGTTTCCATTTGCACCAAGTATGTGCAGAGCCTTGGTCTTAAGTGCTCTCTCTTTTTTGTTTCTGTTGAATTTGGTGCTATTGTCTCAGGTACCTGAAACCAACCAGCCTACAAGAACCAAACGGAACTTCATATAGTTGTATCTGATATAAATAAAGAATACAATGCCACAGCTTGGAGATTTTTTGGTGCTACAGAAACTGTTCTCATTTCTGCTCTTGTTCACTCTACATGCATTATCTTTGGGGAAACTTCAGGCAAAGTGGAGACCAACGCATACAAGAGAACTGGAAAGAGCAGATCTAAGTTGAATATTTTTAAACAGGCAACCTTTTTTTAATTTTTTTTTTCCAATTTTTCTCTCCTCTGGGGTAATGGACAAAAAAAAATCTGTTCTAAAGAAGGCAATGATGCATTGTGATAGGAATCTTGAGTAACTGGATGTACAGTAATTTGAAGATGAGGCTCTCTAGAACTGCCTTTAATGTGCCTTTGAGTCAATTGAGAAAGATAAGGCTAATCAATTGGTTTGGATTATAGCAAATGGGAATGTTAGAAAGCTGTCTTCAGAATGAAGATCTCCAAAAGGATGATTTGGATTGTCTTCATTGGATGGCAACCGGTATTATGGTTCTATAATGCCTGTCTTACTCTACAGAACTAAACTAAGACACACTGAAAAAGCCACATACTTTACCAAAATGGTGATATTCCTTCTTCATTGGTATATATTTGTTTTAGAAACAAGTTACACAGTGAAACTCTTCTAGGTTGCTATAAATTAAGCATTTTCCCACCATCTCTTTGTTTTCCATTTTGAATTCTTTAAGAAAACCGAGCTTAATACTGGTAGGTTTCTTTCTGAAGGAAGTTCCATGTTTGTAATATAGCTTGGACTGTGCAGTGCAGGTAAGAAGATGCTATAGTTGATCAAAGTCCTGGAGCCCAAACTCACTTGAAGACTTAAACTAGGCTTCACAACTTGGTCCATGCAAAGCATTGTTAATGTGGGGGGATTGGAGGACAGCCTTTTGAATCGATCTGTTCGGACCCAAGTTCTCTGGGTCTGAATTGTATAGTTCAAAACCTTTCCTTTCTGGAAACTGGAGAGAACAGGCTAGGCAGTCTCAAGAAAGCTCAGTACTAAAACATTAGCTGGGCTGATCGATTTCAAACCTGCGTGGAAAGTGTTCTAGAGAAGTTGGCTGGTGTTACCATCGTTAACCATTCGTTGTGACTGTCCCTACGTAGCTGCGGAAGTGTCTTTCCAGAAATATGCAACACAGCGTGATTAGTTTTTAATTAGAGAAAACAGTCTTGGACTACTGCAGAGATACTGAGCTACCTCAGCTTTTTGTCTTTTAGTTACCAACAGTGTTTATGGAGGACTGTAATTGCTCTGCTCCTATTTACAAGCTGAAGCTAAGGTACTTGTCTTCACCTCTACGGCTAATAGTAGTGTAGCGCTGCAGAGAAACAAAACACGGGCCTTCGGCTACTGCAGTAATCCAAAGTGCTTTGTATATTATGGTTAAACATAATTCTATCTTAGATCTTTTTGTCCCCTGAATGCCACTGTTTTTCTTTATAGCTGATGGCAGAAAAAGGTTTTAAGCATTCATGTACATCTAGTTACACCTTCTAAATGCAACCCATGCAGAAACACTGTATTTTGTAGGTGGGAAAGTGCGATTAAAAACAACAAAAACAAGCAGAAAACACATGTTAAATGAGATTCTTTGATCTCAGATTTGATTATGGGATTTTTTTTTCCATGTTTCATTTAGTATTTATTAGCATCATACCTGTTTGAGATATTTTTGTGTCTGGTACATTAACAGCATTTTGTATTTTGATGGAAATTGTTACAAACTTTAAGATTTGATTAAATAAAATGTAGCAGATTTTTTGTAGCAAGTTTCTGATAAAAGGGTTTTTTGCAAGTCTCAGGTTCTTGCTGCAGAATTTTTTAAAAATATTTATTCCAGTTTCACTTACTCAAAGAAGTTTTTGTTCAAGTAACAGCAGCACTTGTGGAAGATAAAACTGCATACATTTTTAAGAAGATAATAAATTTATATGAATTAAAACAGTTGAGAATTTCAGTCACCAGTGAGTATGAAAAGCAAGTTTAAGCTAATGCCTAGCATTAAAAATGGTTCTAAAAGGTCAAGTTTCTAAAGGAAAATTTTTACTGTCAGTTGTTGATTGGGAAAAATCGTTAAGAGGCAACTTTACTAATTGAGGAAGCTGCCAAGTTGTTCTAGAGAAAAGTAGCTGATATCAGATGTTCTAGTGGACAGCTTACCTAAAATGATCTACTCGCCTTCCTAGCCCAAATAACCACACTTCAGTTTTGTTTTCCTTTACAGATGTCTGGTGGTTATAGAGTTTAAAACAGCTGTTAATCTATCCACGTGGTCTCAACTTGTTTACTCTTTGTATGTTTTTAATTTTTTTTTGCCACATAGCACTGGCAAGAGTTTGTACAAATTGACCTCTCTTCCTTGTTTCTTGTTGTGAAAATTGCAAATAAACTCCTGTGTGAGTCCTTCTGCTGGGGTCCACGAGATGTGGCCAGCCAGAAGAAAGGAGGTTTCTCTGGGGGGCTGGTGGGGCTGTCTTGGAGATAATAGAGTTGCTCTTGGGGGAGGTTGATGGCTATGGAGTTAATTGTATTTGCAAGCTTGAATCTCACCTGTGATTAATTTTTTTGTTTTGTTTTGTGTCCTCTGTATTGTTACTTGATTTCCTCATATGCCAATGTATTTATAGGAGTACTGTTTTTTGTAATATCTTGTCTTCCTTTTTTTTTTTTGTTTTGTTTTTAATTAATTTGGTGGGTCAGCTCTGGTTTTACCTTCAGTCTCCTGAATGGCAGCTCCTGCAGCTGATTGTCATTTATTTTGTTTTTATTTTATTTTGTAATCACAACATAAGCTTGAATTTGGGCTTGTACTTGCATCTTTTGTATCTTGTACATTGGGTTATTTAGACATTGGGGAGTCTTGTTTGGTTTCATTAACGTGTGTCTACTTTGTGGATTAAGTAGACTTCCTCCATCAACTATGGTATATTTTGGATTCTATAGTTTTATTCAGAACTGTGTTTAAATTGATGTTTTGCATTTTGACTTCCTTTTACGTTAGTTTGAAGTAAGTTATTTAATTTTTTTGAACTTCTGGAAATTTTGAACATTTACTGTAATTTGTAATATAACTGCTGTGAAATACTTGAATAAAGATGACAAGAAAACACAGCTTTAGCTCCTTCAAAAATGTATTTAAAAAAAATACTGCCTAATAGCCGACACCAGTCTTTTTCTTACCAGACCTCCTTGATTACGCCGTTCAGATGTTTTACTCTGGGATCTTGCTGTTTAGTTAAGTCGTAGTTTTGTATTTAGTGTTTGTCCATTAAAGAAAAGAAAAGCTCTATTACTAATTTTGACTGACAGAGTGAAATTAGCGTTGTACATTGGCGAGTGAACAATGTGGTTGTTGGGAAGTAATTCATGCAGAGCTGCTAGAGGTTATGCAAGGGAAGAATCAACTCGTCTTACTTGTTGGCAATTCATCCGGAGCTAACAAACTGCATGTGATGTATATAACGTGGAAGAGAGTATGAGAAGCTCTTCTGTAGATCTGTTACGGCCTCTCTTGAGGTTAAGAGACATGACACACCTGCTCATTTTCCTCTTTTCAATGTACCTTAAACTATAGGGCTCCTGGGCAAAAGACTGGTTGAGGAAAAGAGTAGTAGTAACTTATTTCACATCCGACTCCAATTCCACTTTTATATACAGCTTTGAAAGCACAATTCGATATTAAATCTATAACTTTTTATATAAATATAATAGCATAGTAATTGATCAGCGAGAGCCTAGGCTCATTTAGTATCCACACAGTCAGATGTGTTGGATTGATCTGAACGCCCTTGCAGATACCAGCACCACGCTGAACACCACCCAAGAGGTTTGCGGTCTGCAGGGTCTGAGGTCTTGCGTATCTGTTTCTGTCTTTCAGGAGCAGTGATGGCCACAGTAACGGAGAGAACAGTTTCAGGCCTGATTTCTGATGGTGGCTACAAACATAATCAGTCAAAAGGGACAAAACGGGGCTTTATTCGGGCATTGACAAAAGGATTCTTGTGAAAATACTTCGTGAACTTTGAGTGGTGCTTCAAAAGCATTAATTAGTGAGGAATAGCTGGGTTGCATGCTGTGTTGTTAATAAAGCCTTAGTAAAAGCTTGTGCAACACTGATTTGACACGTGTTCACTGCTTAGCACGGCTTCCTTCTGCTGCTGGCTTTGCCTTGAATGTTGTTCTGAAATGCAGTTTCCTCTATTTCCTCAAACTTGTAGTGCTGCACATCCTCTGTTTCCCCTTTAAACTCCTTGGATAATTTATTTAAATCAAAAATTAGATATTTTTGTTCTCTATCTTGGGCAGGATTTGGATTTGGACTTGGAATATATGGGGTTTTAAGCTAACACTGCATGTGAATAAATTCTGAAAGCTATATCAGTAAACTTATGAACTGATTAATGAAGCCAAACACTTCATTTTTTTTCTCTTGCTTTTATGCATCAGTTGCGGTCATGTAACTATTATGTAAAAATGAAGGATTATAAACTTTAACACTAATTAATTCAGCCTCATTCCATTTCTAGGTGAGTAATTTTTTTACACTGTGATTATTTGCATAGGGAGTATATTTCCGTTGAACCCACTGCCAGTCAATGGCTGCGATTACTACTAAACTCCATTTATTTTAGGAATGCGTTTGAGTTACGCTATATTGAGCCTTACTTTAATTGTAGGTAAAATAATTTACCTTTAAAAAAATGTTATAAGCTGCTAAGATTTAAAATGGATTCACCACTTTCAGTGGAATGTCAGCGTAAACCTGGCCATCCGCACTGAGGCTGGC